TTTGTTGAACGGGTTCAGAGGTCAACAAGTGGTGTTCTGTCCAAACAGCAGCGAATAGACTTCAACTTCCTCTGCTGTTTGAAACTTCACAGGATCCACCTAGAGGCTGAAATGCAATCTGAAAATGGTTTCCCAACAAATTTATACATTAGCTTGTTGGGTTTGGCAATTAAAAGCATGTAGTCCACATTCAATTAAAGGTGATTTTGATAGACATCCTAATTGCAGAGATCTGGGACATTACTTGACACTTTCAGAGGATTCATTCTCATAACTTTGGTGCCCTCAGTTTTCATCTGGTGCAAAAAGCAGATCACAGATTTCACTTGTTAAATCTCAGCACCTAATGGATGGAGTGGCACATTTGGTTCCCAGAAGATGAATGCTAGTGACTTTGGCGATCCGCTGATGTTTCCTCTAGTGCCACCATGAGGTTGACGTTTGTGGTTCTTGTAAAATAGCAGGCTGCTCTCATACAGCGCTCGTCGCTATACCTACAAAAATGTATACGCTGTAATTCGTAGATATCCCATGAAATCAATTGGGATCTCTTACACAAACCGTTGTATGAGGACACATTGGAAATAGTATATCATTTTGCCTCCTCGGGGCTCTGATCCGTCTAAAGTACAGCTCTGTATGATATACTACATTTAATATTATATGCCTGGTAGTCTGTTTCTTTGCAAACATACAGAGAAACAACACTCCTCCACCATCAAAAGCACTTGAGTTGAGATGTGAAACATGAAAGTAGAATCTCGGCCATCTTTCTATCCCTTTGATACTGCCACACCACTCTCTCTTTTCATCTGAAGGGGTTCCAGTCTGGATGCTTTCTTTAGGGAAGTGAACCAGTCCTGTCAGCTTCCATTATACCTCAACACAGGCTGTCGGAGGCACATGTGAAACGCAGAGTGATGCTTTTATTTCCGAAAAGCAAGCTGAGGGAGCCATTAAGACGGAGCTCAGTGGTCGATCAGGCTGGATAACACAAGACCTGCAGTACACCTCCAGCAGCAGCAATCAACCTGTTCCATCAGAAACCTCCTGCAAGCAGAGACATGTCCACTCAGCTGAGGATGGAAATAATGTCTTGGTCTTCAGCACCAGGTGAAAAAAATCCTTTTATTTCTTTTAACACCAAGAATACAAATTTGAAACTTTGGAGCCATGTTTCATGTTAAAGCTGAATTTCTTTCTGAGGGTCCTTTCTGTGTGGAGTTTGCATTTTCTTTCTGTAACTTCTTAGGTAAAATGGCAAACGTCTGTACATGACCCGGTGTGTCCTCAGACCTGAGCACCTACGTCTGTCAGACGCTACAGCAGTTTTATGCAGAATTTCAAGAGGACAAAGAAACCGAATGTGTCTACTTGACTTGTGCCTGTGACCTTGCTGGGAAAGCCTCCCCTCCTCCGATTGTTCACGGTTAGCTTAGGGACGATAACGCCTCCTGATACTTTTTTCATTGGCAGAGTTTTTAGTGAAATCTGACTTCCTGATTGAAGTGTGAGCTCAGCCCTGAAAACCGCAGGCCCTCGAGTCATTTGACATGATTTCACAGGCAAAGACCTCGGTTGCATCACTCATCTTTCATGGCTGCTGCAGTCCAATTTTCTACGGCCTTCCTGACAGAATTAGAGAAAAAATATATTCAGAAAACACTTGAAAGTCATGAGGGGATGTCTGAATGTGATATCAGGATTGCGATAAGCTGCAGATCAGACTTCACAGTCTTCATTAGCCAACAGCTCAGACAGACCAGACATGAACTCCGTTTTCTTGTTGTCCTTGAGAATAACACCAACATTCATTTTTGCTTCTTCCGTTATTCGTTCATAAATAACGCGACATTACGGATGCAGCATCCCGGCTACACTTTTATTACAAAATGACATTAATAATGGTCAGCTCTTCTTAGCCTGCTTGCTTTTCAGAGAGAGATTTAGCGCTCTGCTAGTGCTACAACCTTTTGTGCCACGTTCGGATTAATAAACGTACTCTTTCATTTTGAAACAGTAGCCTCATGTTGTTTTTATTTATTTATTTGATGAATTTTATGGTAATTTTTGACAGACACCTCCGTCCCTTCACCCTGGTGCCTGGTCTGGGCGTCGGAACATCATACATCAGCAATAAAGGCCTATGTCTGTTTCAATGCATAACATCATTCATTTGAAAACAGCCCTACCTTCATGGCTATTTTTGACATATGTGAATGTTTAATATCTTCAGACAACACTGAATCTACATAGCTGTTCATGGAGTGGTAGCTGGTTTGCGGAGGAGAGGGATTTTGATACACACAGGCTTCTGAAGCCAGATAAACGTGCCCGTACAGATGCAAACCACCTCCACCAACAGATTAGAAAACTCCCGCTTGAAGGTGCTTCTAGGAAACCTGCCTGATAATGTGAATAATTTATGATTTTGAATATTTGGTTAATACACATGCGGGCCCTTTGGTTGCTGGTAGTTTTAGATCTACAAATGCTCCTCAGTAGTGGAGCCATCGTGATGATAGAAACAATCTCTTTGATTGAAACAAATCTCATTGAGTGGAGACAGTTGAACCCATGTTTGTAGCTCAGCACCCTCGTAAGGAATTCACTTTTTTTTGTCATTCTGCTGCAGAATTTCACCAAAAATGGTCAAATTAGAAGCTTGCAAATTTTACTAATCACTGCCCTTTTCATGCTAAACATTACATGCCATTAGCATGCTAACGCTAATATTAGCATGATGATGTGTTTAATCTATAGACTATCAAATCAAAATACAATTAATCATTTTTTTCAGAGGTTTTTACAGGCTTACAGTAAAGACAGAACGTGCATTTTCTGTCTGAATGCTTTCAATTAAGTCCTCTCCCTTTTGCAAGCTAGCTGCTATTCCAACAAAAAACATAATGATAGGCCTTATGAACTGTCCAAAATGTTTCCAACAGATGACAGGCTGAACTGTATAAGCATTCTGATTAGAGAGGGGTGGTTCTCAGCCAAACCAGTATCATGCTAGAAGAACAGTTTGGGCTCATGGGGGGAAATACCAGACACAAGTTTAGCCGAAGCTTATAGATAGGCATTTACCTGCTTGTGTTTTGATTAAAAGGATATTATTTGATATAGATGTTATCTGTCTGTATGGCTCATGAGAATAGACACCGGTCACAGGAGGGTTAGTTTGTTTTTACCTCCACATTACGTGCGTGGGTGGTTGGTGAATGGCTCCTCTGTGCCCTTGTAAAGATATCAATATCCAACAATAACAATATGAGAAAAGAGAGATCGGGAATAATATTTCAGGGTAAATGGAGTTTATTTATGTTTATCCTCCAGTACAGCCCCGGTAATGACATCCCTGGAAAGGAATCTGGCTTCTGGGAATGGACACAGTCAGAGGAGGGCTCTCACATCTACCGTAAAGTGTGTGTGTGTGTGTGTGTGTGTGTATTTATTTATTTAGAGAGAAGAGGAGGTTGGTGGAGAGGTGCTCCTGCAGGTATCCACACTTGGAATAGTGATGAAGGAGAAATTGAAGAGACTGAAGACGTGTGTGCACATGTACAGTGACTGTTTGTAACAGGTAACAGCTACTTCCTGGAGCTGTGTGTGTGTGTGTGTGTGTGTCTGTGTGTGTGTGATGAACATGCTCAGACCTCTCTCCTGATTTATTTAGATTATATCACCACACTGAGCTGCTGAACTCCCTGCTGTCTGGACGGACTCTCCTTTGGTGCACATAAAGGAGGGAATGTGCAGAAACTCGAGATTAAGAATCACATTTTATCTCAGCCCCAGTAACTGCTGTGGTGAAATGAAAACATCTGACTGTTGACTGTGAAAAATAAACAGTTTGCCATCTGGTGGATGAAAGTAGTACAGCATATCATAAACTGCATCATGTTAATCAGATGGCAGATGTTTTTGTTTTCTGTCTACATGTGAGGACCAATCATAATTGAGTGATTGTGCGTTATTAGAATACACGATTCTGCCTTTATTTTGTCCTTGCTTTGCTAAAAGCCATCACCAGTGGAGTAAAGTACAATGAGTATTGTGCTTACAGGTGCTAAATTAGATGTTCAGAGCATTGATAAAGCACAAAACAAGTAATATCTACCTCTGCAGAGAGAGAAGTCTCTCTCACTGTGCTTATTTGGCGGTTACAGTCCTCTACAGAAGCGTAGCGTCTGAACTACTTTCCAACCAATCGCTACAACTTCATGATGGTTACAACATTAACTTTAAATGGTGCATGTCAATACAACCAATATTCAATATATGTAGAGCTCCTCTAAAATACAATAAACAGCCTAACGAGATCCTGCATGGGATCCATCAGTGTGCCGTTGGCATGTGAGAAGAGCTTTTTATTTGGTGTTTGTGGGTAAAGTTGTGATGAAAAAATACCATTTTTAGAAGAGTTTGTATCGTTTGGAATGAAATGTTTGCTTTTGCAAGAGATGTAAAATATTTTGTTTATATGTTTTGGCGTTTTTTTCTTTGAGTTTTGACAAAGGAGCCTAGTTTCAAAAATTGTCCTTAGCGATTGAAAAAAAACAGCCCCTTCTTCCTTCGTGTTCTTGCATATTTGTACCAGAAGAGGGCGCAGTTGGCCATGATTTTGATAATAACGCAACAGTATATATACGAAGTAGAAAAAAGGGTGTAACTGCTTCATGTTTATTACATTCATACATGTTTTCTTTGTTTTATTTTGTGACTGAAATAAAATCAAACCTAGAGAATTAAGAAAATAATATACTTAAATTGGCTTGAAGCTTCAACTATTTATGACGCAGTTTACGTTAATTTTATTCAAGACGGAAATCTCCAACAATATGTTGTTATGAACCCAAACGCTGCACGTGAAGTTTGTACCAGCGGTGTTTGTGCATCTGTAGGAACCGGATCACCACAGCAGCTCGTGAGGACGCGCGCTGCCTCATTGGCACATGTCCCAGGCGGGGTGGAGCGTAGCGGGGCCGCCTCTTGTTTTGCGGTCTTGTTTTGTCAGCCTCTCAACAGACAGAGCAGCCGCAGCAGGTCGTCAGGAGAGCAGCGCCCGACACGAACCGGTGAACGAGTCGGTGGACGTTATTTTCGCCGGTTCGACCCTCAGGAGCAGGGCGCAGTCACAAGCCTGAGAGGTGAATCTGTTCGTGCGCAGCTTCCAGAGGGTGTGTTTTGATCCTGCGGAGGACTGAATCAGAGGGCATAGAAGGTGTTCTTAAGGCTGGAAAAAGATTTGTGATCATCGTTGTCCTTCACGGCGCTGACACCGTCCACGCTGTCCTGAAGGAGACGTTTAACTGTGGAGCGTCTTCGTGGCCGAATGGATGCGAGTGCGTGGGGAGAATACTAATGAACGGCGCGCTGCGTCCTGCCGAGGCGCACCGCGTCCCCCGCTGCTGCTGAGGGCCACAGCAGAGCCGATCAGTCATCCGGAGCGCACCGGGGCCTGCGCACCGCCTCAGTCTCCCCACGGGAATTAATGAGCGGGATCTGAGCACCGGAGCCGTTTTATCTCCTGGATAAAAAAACAACAACAACCTCCAACAGCTGCAGAAAGAAAAACGCCAAAATGGGCAACAGCTTCTCCAACATCTCTGCCTTCCAGTCTCTTCACATCGTCATGCTGGGCTTGGACTCTGCTGGGAAGACCACAGTCCTCTACAGACTCAAATTCAACGAGTTTGTCAACACGGTTCCCACCATCGGGTTCAACACGGAGAAGATCAAGCTGAGTAACGGCACCGCGAAGGGCATCAGTTGTCATTTCTGGGACGTGGGGGGCCAAGAGAAGCTGAGGCCCCTGTGGAAGTCCTACAGCCGGTGCACCGATGGGATCATCTATGTCGTGGACTCTGTGGACATTGACAGGCTGGAGGAGGCCAAAACTGAACTGCACAAAGTCACCAAGTTCGCGGAGAACCAGGGCACGCCGCTGCTGGTCATCGCCAACAAGCAGGACCTGCCCAAATCTCTTCCAGTGGCGGACATTGAGAAGCAGCTGGCTCTGCACGAGCTCAGCCCCTCCACCACCTATCACATCCAACCTGCATGTGCTATAATAGGCGAGGGGCTTCATGAGGGTATGGACAAGCTGTACGAAATGATACTGAAGAGGAGGAAATCACTGAAACAGAAGAAGAAGCGATAACAGCTGCTGATTCTGTGGAAAGTGTTTTAGTCTAATTAACTGTAAGGAATCCGGGTTCTGCCAGTGTTGCCCTAAACAGGTTTACTTTGCAGTGTTTTTGTTTTTGTTTTTCACATCCTCAGTTTGGATTAAAGCTGTTTGACGCTGTGAAGCCCTGCTGAGTGCATCATTCAGCACACAGGAGGCTGCAGGATATAGAATACATAATAACCAAAAAGACAAATGTAGAAAAGAAACTTGAAATGACTCTCTGGATCTACAGCATGGAGGAAGAGACGCGGGCTGGCCCGTTCGTCTGCTGCTTTTGTCGTGGACTTTGAACACAGTTTGACCCTGAAGAAGAAGCTCCTCTGCTGTAGCTCACTGAGGACTGTTATGGCACAGTAGTTTTCATTTCCAACCACAGGAGGTCTACTGTGGGGACACACGTTTGATTTTGCACGTGGCTCGGGTCACTTGTGCCCCCTGCTCCTTTTTGTTTTTATTTGGAGGACAGACATCTGTAGTTTCAGTCTGGATGTCATGCTGACTGTTTCTTTGGGAGCATTGAAGTAGCCTTTCCTCTGCGTGGTGGACTGAGGACAGAGTGTCCACTACTTTGCACTTTTCATTTCCTAACAAAACAGTAGAGAACTACACTGTATTAATAGAGGAGCCAATCCAGGTGGTTTATGTACTAAGAAGCCAAAATTGAAGTATTTTTTGAATATTAAAAGATTTAAAATCCACGATTTGGGTGACTGGTTTTCATTCAAATGTTACAGGTTACACTGGCAGCAGCAAGTGGGATAACACAGATGGCTTGGCATGGTAAAAACAAAACCTGTGAACTGTTGACCTGATTCATTTCTCTACCCAGATGCTCACAGGTGTGGATCAAAGGAAAAAGGGTCAAAGGTCCCAGAGTTCAGAGAGCCTGCAGAAGGTTAAGTGAGAGAAAAGCCCGAGCACAGATTTCTGTTTCAATCTACTGCACATGAGGTGAACATTTAGAGCAAAGCCGGAGCTCGTTTGCGAAATTTATGGATCTGCATTGCGGTGCTGAATTTTCTGCTTCACAACAGTGTTTACAGCAGCAACCAGTGCTCCAATGGGACCAGTGCTCACCGGTGTGTCCCATCATTTGTGGACAAGATGCCTGTTTCTTTGTGAAGTACAATATGTGGTCTACTTCAGTCGGAGAGCTGCTGAATAAGAGTTTTTGCTGTCTTGTTTAGGCTCAGCAACAATCCAAAACTCAAAATATGTTCAGTTCAATATAGAAGTTGAAGGAAACCACCAAATATTCACATTTGAAGAAGCTGGAACCTGATTATTTTGGCTTTTTTTCTTTAAAAACAAATAACTTCAGTGACTAATAGCTTAAATGAATCGATTGCTTGCTTCAGCTTTAATTTGTACCCTCACATGTATAATTCTCCTCTTCATGTGCAGACTTCTCTAGTTCAAGCACCGACAGTTAATGTGTTTGATGGCTTCAGTGATCGAGCTCTTATCTTGTGTTACTAGTTGACATGAGTTAGTCTGTGGCAGTATTGTTTTTTGTGGAGTAGACTGGTTCTCTCAGGTGGTGGGATGTGATACATTTTGAGGTACTTTACATTGATATTTCCTTTCTGTTTTACTTTATACTTATAAAGTATAAACACATAAATTGTCTTGTTAAGATTTAAGTTGGTGATTTCAAACATTTTGGGCTCGTGATCTCTTACAAAACAACAGTGTCATGGCTTCTTGTCATGTTTCAGATGTATCCGGTTTATTGTCAGTTGCACCAAAGAGTTACTTCTACTCTGAAGTAAAGTCAAAAATGATTATAAATTGTTATTCTTTGCTCTCCCACTAATGATAGAAACAAAAACCATCTGGCTACTGTTTCATGGACACCCTCAACGCAGACGAACGTTGTGAGTTTGATGCCCTTTTTTGTGACAGCAGGCTCAGAGAAACTCAGAGGTTTCCCCCGAAAAAAAACCAACCAAGAACGGAGAGAGCCCTGTCATCTCGGGACTACCCGTTGCTATGGCAACAGGATAGCAGAACCAACCCAGTGATTTAAGAAAACAGGTTTCCCTTCTCGCAGTCGTCTGCAGCGTTAACAACTATTTACCCCGACAAGAGTCACAAACATCGATGCCTTAGTCCCATGATTTAGCCCTCATGTTTAGAATTCTACTTCTTACAGTTTCTCTTCTGCGTTATCTTGTTGCAGCTCTACTTTGAAGCTAAATGTTATAAGCTATGCCCGCATCATCCCATCAAATATAGCTATTTCCTGCATCATTTCACCCAAAATTCAGCCTCATATATGTGATATATTTGGAAGTTATAAGGCTCAGTTTATGATAAGAGTGAGTGGTTCTGTGTGTGGGTATTTATAACATTTTCTCATTTGTTTCTTTAAATGAGCCAAATTTCCGGCTGGGTTCCAGCTCTGGTTAATCATTATTGATCTTCAGTCTCAGTTTGTGTTTAGCCAGCGGGGTTTACCTGAAGTTCAATTGTTGGAAGTCTGTGTGGGAAGTGAAAGCCACCACATAATGCTGAATTCAAGAGATCTCCCTAAGCAAACAAGAAAAAACAATACTCAATGCCAAAGTCAACAATAATTGTTCCCATAATGCTATCCGGTACACCTAACCTTGTTAGAATATTCTTCTGTTGTATTTGAGTGTAAAGTGAGGTCAGAAGTAATGCCTGGGTTGATTTCAGTAAAGTAGCAGAAGAGCTTTTCTGCATTTGACCCATTTGTCAAAATGTAGGAAGGCCACATGTGTGCAGCACAGTTAGCTACATGAGTGGCCTATAAAACCAACGGCCTCCAAATATATACACCGCCTCCGGGGAAGCTCGTCCTTGTTTATGTTGAAGGAACGGTTTCACTGTCAACAGAAACGCGGCCTGACTTTTGTCAACTCAACACAGTAGCTGTGCTTTTACAACCTGCAGCACACAACTTTGGTTTCATGCACATAAATTACTTGGTAAAGGTTGTCTGGATCAGACTACACATTTTTTACAGTGACTTGGACAAGAGACCTGAAGATGCTCACACGTTGCCATCTTTCACTTGTGTAGACGACCGGTGAGGTGCCACAGGAACTCTTAACTGTTAGGACTGGGTGTAGTTAAAAAATGACCATGCCAGTACCAATACCAGTACCTTTAAAGTGATACTGATACCTGTAGAGGTACCCATCATGTGAATGGAAGCTGTGCGTGTCCCACTGGCTAAGTATCGCTGCATTGTTGTAGAAGCATTATAACCACCCTCCCATAGTAAACTGACTAGTTTTCTGTCAGGATGTCGTGAGGTGTCCTAGATGGCCGCGTCTTTTGTTATCTTCTATGAAACCCTACAATTTGAGAAATTGCCACTCAGACTGTACAGCAGTTTATTATCAAAGCATCGGGGATCCCCTTCTCAATCTCAGCAGCTCAAACGACAACCAGAATTTCAATCAGATTTTAAAACAAAAATTGGGTGCGATTGATTTGGTGTTTAAATCTGGTTGGATCCGAAAAGTGTCTGCTGGGTTTAAGAGGTTTTGCGGTGCTTCTACAACGTCATGCTACTCTGGCTTTGCTCCCAAATGACAAAAAGACTCATTGATTATAATATTTTGGACCAAGTTTATGTTGATTTCACAACTTTCTACACACGTGTGTTGACTTTTGAGTTTATCTTAATATTAGTTCCCAGAATGTGTTTAGGTCAGGCGATTCCTTCCAGCAGCCAAAGATAAGATGGTACATACCATGACTGAAGACGAGTCAAAAGACAAACCAAACAAAGTGGTTCTTGTAGCGCTCAAGATGTTGCAGACTGCATTTCTGAAGTCCCCACCACCTCCCACATATCCTCCTCCTCCTGTGGTCTTTGTTGGTGTCTCCCTCAGCTCTCCAATTATCTACTTAAAGCAGGAGCAGAGCTGTCTCTGCTGGAGCAAAACAAACTGCTGATTACAGAGCAGTGTGTCTTTGTGCTGCTACAATCACAGCAGAAATTAAAAGATAATAAGCTGACACTGTAAATGCTTTCAACCCAAACAGCCAGCTCTGTTTCGGAGTCTTTTTAGTGTCTCCCGAGGGCTCCTGTGTTTGTGGAAACATAATGCTAGACTGGTGCGTCTGTAAACCTACATGGACTTTATTTTAGTCTGAGCCTCTTCAGCGCATTAACCCACAGTGGAACAAGTGAGGGATGATATATTGTATCTCCGTACAGGTAACTTAATATCTCAGTAGTGAAATATTGTGATGGAGTGGAGTTTCTGGAAATTAAAATGGGAAAATCTTTTTAGATAAAAACTTAGACAGGAAACTTTGTTAAATTGAACCCTGCCTCCTACAAAATGATGCTTCCATACAAGTAAACTACATTCTGAATTAAGTTTCAAGGTCAATGAGATTACGTCCACAGTTTTAAAAACAGGTGCTTAATGTAAATTGAAACAAAACTAAAAAAAGCTATAAAAACTTCATTAGGTTTAGACGGCAATGCAATTTCGTGGTATGGGAACGTGACTTTTAGGAGACAGCTCTGCTTAAATTAAATAGCACATTTTACTACCTCAGTTTTTTCATCACATTGATGTAAAAATCCTCTTAACTGCCTTAATGGCAAATTAATCTAATCACTGATAATAATTTCCAAATTGGCCCAAAAATAAGTAGTAAATGTAGAGCTTAATTTTGCTCCGGGGTGAAAACTTCACATGCTTTTAGACTGAACTTTGTTAGAAAAAGAACGAAGTCAAGTGTTTTAAACAATGATGCCATGAAGTCATTAACAGAAAAGCAAGAAGAAATCTCTTTGAGGTATCGATGTCTTCTCCTGATTTGGTCGGACCAGATTTTGTGATTTGGCCGAGAAGATGATTGTAAACGATGGACATGAGGAACCAGTGACTCCAGCCGTCAGATAAATGTAGCGGAGTAAAAAAACGCAACTGTCCTTCTGTGATGTAGTAAAAGAGTCTCCAACATGGGAATATAGGAGTAACAAGCACCAGCCTCTAAAGTTGTTTTGAACAGACTACATGCACTCAGTTGCACTCAGAAATAAACTGTGCAGGACATTTATCTCAGAGAGCTGCTGTCCCTGGTGGATCAGCTCTTTCTTGCTCCTGCAGCTGTTATTTTGTGTTCAGAGGGTTGATAAGCCATGCATTGTTCGGGTGTCCCCGGCATATATAGGTCATGCTCTTGTTGTTCTGCCTCCTCCCCATTAAATGTACTGCATGTGTCACTGTTGTCTCAACAATATACAACAGCAGCAGTGCCAGATTCTCCTTCATCCCCTCCGCCATCTCCAGCAGAGTGAAAAAACAAGACAGTGTGGACAAAAGTAGCCTGAGCCTGATCGGACCAGAGAGCCAAATCTGCATTAAAGTGTTCATCTTGAGTCTTTATGGTTACAGCCTCTACATCTTGCTGTTTTATTTTGATTAAAAAAAAAGAATTAGCTCTCTAGCTAACAACCAGCCACAAATTAACACAAACAAATGGACCACTCACGTAGGGGGAAGATAGGTGAAACCAAAGCTTGCCGTCATGGGCAGTCATTAGCCGTGTTTCCATTCAATTGTCAAGCTAATTTTAAGTAAACTTTCGAATCATCACAAAAGAGGATTGCTAATTGGGTGCATTACCATCAACTGGTTTGGGGTGAATAAAGTAGGCTGGGTAGTTTCGTCAGAAACCAATTTACGGTAGAAAAATGGAAAGGTCTTCAGGAATTATTTCAGTAAGGCAAGTTTGAATTGTACTTTCGTGTCCGCTGATATTGTTTCATGCTGTCCGGAGAGGAAGACAATATAAATATATATACCTGGGGAGAAGCCAACAGTGGAAACAGCTGATCAGTCATGTGAGTTAAATGTTCACTGCATCAGAAGTTATTCTGCCGAGGCTTTTCCATTTCCCATTTCGTGCATCAACTCTTTTTTTGATAAAAGGAAAAAAAAAGAAACCTCAAGAAAGCATAAAAACTTTACAGTTGAGGAAGTTTCCACACTTCAAAATACAAATACATGAATGAAAACACAACTATTAACACCGCTCTCTCACTCATTCCAACTGAAAAATAAGTCATCAAACTGCAGAAACCACCACCTGATACGTTTTTATCAACATAATGAGGAACCACACTTGTAATTCAATATAATCTTAGAGTCACAAAAGCATGATTAAACTTTGCATGTTTAGAAACGCACAGTTCTTGGTCAAGGCTAAAGAGTTTTTGTTGGGGTAATAGTCTTGGGTACTTTGTCAAGTCGTACTGTACAAATGAAGCTGAATCAGTCTATCCGAAGGTTGTTGAATGTAATTTAAATGCTAAGACAGTGAGGCCTTTTACACATTGCTCTGCGTTGGTTTATTCCCTCTGTGCTGCGATGTGCTCAGCTGCAGACTGAAGAATGTGTCGCCCTGCTGCTGCAGTTTAGTCTGAGAGCAGAAACATGCCTCTATATGGAGACGAGGCCTTCAGGGACACACAGGATCCTCCAGCCACCGACACTAAAAGTCCAGACCATTCATCTTGGCACCGGGACTTGTCTTCCCCCAGTACCACACACACACACACACACACACACACACACACACACACAGAGGAAATGACAATCCTTTCTTCTTGCTTCCTCCTTAGTAAAATGTAGCTGAATTATGCATTTTATTGGATGACAAAAGAGGCCTGTCAGACTCTGCATAATCAAACAGCAGCTCACTGAGCCTGCCAGAGAACATCCATCATCTGCAGGAAGAAAGAACACATGCATGGTCACGTTTAATGACCACACTGCGCTTGTTTTTTTCGGGGCTTTATTTAAAAACAAACATTCATGCAATTCATTTCCATATCTATATTTGAAAGCCCTTT